CATCAGATGTGGTTAAGTACAGCTTGGCAACTATGAAAGCTGCACTTCTCATTTGAAACTGATAATGTAATATTATTCTATGAGGATAGATTGTAATAGATTATGTTTTATTCAGGTAACACTCTTCTGAATCTTTGAAATTTTGAACACATTATTTTGTTAAATTGTTAAATTTATAGGGAATAGGAAGAGAGAAGATATTTTACATTGTTTTCTTTCTTGAAAGTACTCTTCACCTTCTGTTTTTGCATTATAATCCTTTACTTCTCAATTAGTTAACATTCTAAGAAATTCAAGATCCTAAAATACAAGGTTTATTAAAAGATTGATTGTGGTAGTTAAGAAAAGATTCAAAGCTGTATCCAGTAATTCCCAGATACATGTCTGGATTTAAAAGCCATGACACAAGTTTGTTTGAAATCTTAATATTTTGCATGCCTGTATTTTTAAATTGCAACAAAGTATTTCAACCAAAATCATGGGCCCAACGAGGGATTATTAAATACATTGTGTTGGTGTTTTTTGCATCAGAGCAGAGTAAATTGTTACACTGTTCAGAAGATTCTTAAGAATTCCTGCTTAGAAACTGAACCAAAAAGGATGGACTGACAACTGAAAGGATAAACTTGTGACCATTTGTTCTGAAATTATTAGATTCTAGACACCTGATGTTGCTGTCAAAAATTAGACTAGACAAGTGACATTTTTTTGTCTATGCTCAATACTGTGAATGTCTGAGGAGTCCTAATGTTAGTACAGGAAACCGAAGACTTTCAGCAGAAAAAACTTGTGTGCTCTTACTTTTAGGAAGAGGGGAAAAAAAAAATTATCAAGTTGTAATACTTCAAAAATGTGCAGTGCATGTGAGAAATAGCTAGAGTCTCCAATTATTTTGACAGAAAGTAAGCAAATGATCAGGGAGAGGAGTTATAAATTCTAAGCATGGGAGACAATGCTTGAATGAATGTAAGAAGTGGAACATGCTCCCCCTGTTGCTAGCCATAGATGTGCATTTCCCAAACCTTTACATTTCTTGCAAATACCAGTGGACAAGACCACCAGCAAATACCTGTAGAACCTCAAAGTCTTACACCAAGTGCTCTGGTCAACACTCTGCCACTGCAGAGATGAAGTCCAGAGTCCATCTATTGCAGAAATGAGTAACTGTGACTCCTACGTGCCGCAAATAACAAGTATAGTTATTTGTTCATTTATTATTTATGTTATTTGTGGAATTGAATGCTACTCAAATCTAGGAGACCTTAATTAGTCAATATTTAAAAATCAGAAAGTTCAACAAATAATTGAAAGTATTTGAGTAAGTTGTCTATATGGAGTGAATTGTCCCCTCCAGAGAGTAATTCAGCTCATATATCTGAAATAAATATCTTAAAGATGAGATAGATTTGTTTTTGGAGATGCCTCTTTCTCTCCACGGATTAGAAAAAGAAACTTCCTGGATAAAATTGGCCAACACTGTTATCACTAAACCATGTAGGATTGACTCAATGCATTCACAATGTCACACTTGTGTGGAAATACAAAAATTATGGAAACAAAAAGCACCATACTATATGTAAGCAAAAGATCAAGACTAAAGTTGCACAACTACTTTAAAATCTGAGTTGCAAGTCCTTGATCGTAATCATATTTTAGCACAATCTTTATTAGGTATCAGAGCATTCACTAGTCTTAATTTAAGACTCAAAACAAAAATGAAAAGGAAAAAGTTGTGTCTGTAGTGTGTGACAAACGTGTGATGTACATTACTGCTCCTTTCATCATCCAGACAGGTGTCCTATTGGAGGATAGCCAAGGTGTGCTCTCCACATCTGTCCATCTGGATTTCTTTCCAAAGGAAAACAATGACTTGGAAGAAGAGATGCAAATCTGCATCTCACTTTTTCCTCTTCAGAAATACTCTGTGTAATCTCTGTTGCCTTTGAATTTAGTAAGAGAAAAACCTAAAAGAAAAAAAATCTCCTCATCACTACCTAGATGAAAAGGATTTTTTTTTTCTTTTTTTATCTTGGGTAGTGGAATATAAGGATAAAAATCTAAGTGAACAAAATAGACTTTCAGGTCTCAACTGGCACACTTACACGTAAAGGACCTCACTGATGAACAAGGAGGATGGCTGCAGCACAAGGTTTTAAGACAATTTTTATAATTTGGAAGATCCTAGAGGAGTGTCCTTGTACTCTATCTTAGACCAAAATTCATACTCCGAAGCTTGGAGTATGAAAGAACACCTCTGTCTCCTGTACTTATTGAAAATGGATAGAAAAAGAATGTGCTATTTCAATACTACTTTAATTTGTATTTTTCTAGGGATAATATTGCTTTCCCAGTTATAGAGGGAGAAGGATTCTTTTCAATTTGTATTTTTACTACTAGAGGTGTGGATACTTTTTGAGAAATTGATGTTATTATCATATTTCTGCTTATCTGGCGCCTTTATTATCTCTAAGAAGTACTAAATGCATTGAATGTTTGCAAAAAACCCCAAAAACTCCTTTTGTCAATTTTTCTCAAAATTACCTGACAAGAGAAGAGAGTATCTTGTGTAGGAGGAATGACTCAAATCTCCATTGTAAGGGCTATTACCTGATGTCATTGTCAAAATGTTCGAGTTGACTCATTCACAGAGAATCAGACAAACAAAATGGCCTATGCAAACAATCAAGCAACCTCATGCTAATTCTTCTTTTAATACAGCAGGCCATTGACATAATATGGACTTTAGGGAGTAAAACCAAGTAGAAGACTAGAGGGACTCTTTTCCAAAGAGTCATGGTCAATCTGCTAGGCAGTCCTTGGGCTAGCATTACCACAGTTATCTTTATTATTTTTAAGGGAAAAAAAAAATCTACCATTTTTTTTCTAATAAATTTAGATTCTGATTAAAAAGAAGAAAAAAAGTTCTATTTTTTCCATAAAATGGTGTAGCAGAAATTATTTCTCTTCCTTTTGAAAGGTTAAGCTAAAGAAGAAAGTCTCATTTCCTAAAAGAAGCTGATTGCTATCTGTTTGGATTATCATATCATTAAGTTTCCTTGGCTTGCTTAGTTCCATGATTACTATCTAATAAAACAATGTGCATTGATACATAAAAGAACATACTTATTAAAAACAGTCTTTGAATGCTTTGGTTCAGAACGTTGTGAGCGTGTAACAAAACAGCCTTGCATCTATGTTATATGTATCACACTTTATTTTAGCAGGAATAACTGATAATTTGTTTATATTTCATACTAAACTGAGTAGGAACAGAAATATTGGGAGATCTGATATTAAGCCTGGTAATGATGCATTGCTAAATGACGTGGACCTGTGCAATGGGTAGGTATGTAGCTGAGGGACAGATGAAAACACTTTTTCTTTAAATTAAAAAGCATTAAAAGCATAGCTGCAAGATTAGCATAAGATAAATTCAAGTTTGATAATCATCTAAGTTATAAGGGCAGAGTAATAAAATGCTAAATACTCCTCTCCCTTATAGGCCAGGGTCATCTCACCTAGGAAAATTTGCAAGTAAAAAGACAAGAAAGAACAATAAAGGCTTCACCTTAACAAAAATATGTTCTTCTAACACCATCCATATTATAGACATGTCATTTAATAAAAGCCTGGGATTGTTTGTCACATTATTATCCAGAGCTGAATTAACAATGGTAAGTACCAGGAACAGCACAGACAGGACTGAACTAGTAAAGAGCACAGAAGTGTAATACAGCTGAGAAGCCCTACTGTCTTAAGTGGTGTTTGAGATGAAAATAGCTATTATTCTTCTGACAGTGACTACAGCAGAGATAGTCATAGCTAAATTGAATGACAATACATCTCAATTTTGCAAGCACTTGTAATACTCACTACATATGTCATTATTTTAAACTTTGTATTGTAGAATCATGGATTGTATAATCATGGATTACTGAAATAGAGTTCTTAAGTGACCTAGTGAATTCTAATCACTATAAAGTAACTGTCATCAAGCTTTTAAATTAACTGGAACCTGCTATTTATTATTTCCTATTAGGTACACTATTTGACTAGTTAAACTGGTTATTGGATTCTTCATACAGTAGCCCCTGAACTCCTCCAGTCAATTAAATTCTTTATTGAATCTGATTTGTCAGTGTCAGTGTCACTTCTAATCTCTTAAATCCACATTGGTTCAGAAGCTTTAAAATGTACTTATTCAGTTGCAAAACTAGGAAGTTAGACAGGCAGAATCCTTCCCCTCTCCCTCCTCTCTCTGTGCAAGCCATGAACCTGCCAACAGTACAAAAGATATAAACACTTGTATATACACTCTTATGTAGCTGCAGAATGAGCTGCTTTTAAGATGAGCTACAGAGCATGAACAGGAACAACATATAAGCAAAAAACTCTATTGGGTGTTTTGATACCAGCATGTTGTATATTGAACACTTTTATCTTTGACTCAATTTCTTATCCCTTTAGATTACAGAAATTAGCAGAACAAAGTAACTATAGCTAATTCCAGAACTGGAAACTTTAAAATCTTGGCAATACTCTTCACAGGTTTTGATTGATATCTGCAAAAGTATTCCAGAGCATTTTTACACCTGTTACAAAATTAAATTCCCTGATTCTAAAATCTCCCTGATTCTCTGTTCATCAACAAAAACTAGCTTTCAAAGGAAAAACACAGGTGGTGAAGGAAAAGAAAGGAAAAATACAAGTATTAAATAACAGATCTGCACGATGTTCTTGTCAGCCTAGTAACTCTTTAGTTCACCTGAAGAGCAGCACAAACATGCAGGCTATTTATTTCCATATTGCAAAGTACAGTTTGCCTGACACAGACTTCTTTTTCCTTTAAAACCATTCTCTTTCTAAAGGACCTCCTTTTTGCCAGTAAAAAAAAATCTGCTTTTTACATATTATAGGCATATAAGGGGAGGAATTCCCCTCCCAGGTTAGGCGCATCACCTTTATTCTGAAAGAGAAGGCAAAGCACGCCAGGCTCTTACCAGACACAGGGAAAACAATCGCTTCGGCTGGCTCCAGCGGCGCCGGGTGCGAGCAGGCAGCCGGAGCGATCCCTGGGCCTCACACAGCAGCGAGACAATTGGCACTGGCGGAGGAGCCGTAAACATCCATCACGGCGGGCTGGGGCTGGGCTGGGCTGGGCTGGGCTGGGAGCGGCGGGCGCTGCCCCGGCCGGCCGGGCTGGGCTGGGCGCTCCGGGCGGGATGATGTCAGGCACAGCCCCGGGCGGGCGCTCATTGGCTTCCCTCACCTGCGCCGGCCCTTAACCCTAAACTGCCGGCCGCCCACTGAAAGAAAGGTGTCTAATCCGTGCATACATACGCACAGGTGGGGGCTTTCTGGCTTTCCTCCTTTTTTTTTCCTCCCTTTTTTTTTTCACCTTTCATTTATTCTCTTATTTTTTACCTCACCCCCCCCCCCCCCCCCTTCTTCTTCTCCTCCTTTTTCTCCTTTTTTTTTTTTTTTTTTTTTTTTCCCCAGGAGGAAATGAGACTGCACAAGAAGCTCCTGCTTTGGGGACCAGGTGCTTGTTGTGGTTTAGCTGTTGAATGCAGCAATTAAGCAAATTCTAAAAAACTAATTTGCCTAAATTATTAAACAAGACCCTCAGGTAACTGGGTTTGCGTCGTCTGTTTGCTAAATGGCAGTAATCATCAAAATATTGTACAGAAAAGGTATTAAAGGAAAGGTTAATGCATGCAGCACCTGGAGAACTCATATTTTTAATGATTTTGCGTTGCATCCTCTTCAGGCATGAGGTTAATAAAAGTACATGGTGGAAAAAGGGTGTAAACTCAAGAGTATTTCACTATTGCAATGTTAGGTTGATTCTTGTGTCTTTTTAGGTATTTAAAACCCTGGGAAAAGGGTGTAAACTCAAGAATATTTCACTATTGCAATGTTAGGTTGATTCTTGTGTCCTTTTAGGAATTTAAAATGAACAGAAAAAAGTATAGGGATGTACAAACGTACATGAAGAGTCATTCCTTGAATGCTAATTAGGAGCCCAGATATTCTGTAGTAAATGAGGCATGAAACACATTGCCCAATGTATGATGTCCTAAATATAGTGGCACTAAGTATTTAGCTATGTTACAGGCAATATCATAAATCATGAGAACTCTAAAATGAGTCCAAATCAGTGCTTAAATAATTGCTTTTTCCATAAATGAGTATTTTGATCTCTCATCTTTAAGTGGCAAAAAATCCTTTTGCTCTATAGAAAAATGAAAAAAAAAACCTGACCTACCACATATTGTATTTGTATCTTTTGTTCTATGTCAACTTTTTTTAATCTTGGGAAACTAATACTTTCTTGAAATGGGTAGGAACCCGATCCCAAATGTATTTACAGTAAGTGATATAACACACCAGTCTATTTTTGGTCTGCTATCCCTCAAAAAAAGAAAATATTGTTGCTCAGTTTTTTCTCTGGGGGGAAAAACAAGACCAAAGAACCAACAACACCAAAAAAACCCAGGAAAAATGAAATATAATCAAACACAATCTAACTTAATCTAAAAGATATGTAAGGTAAGATTTCTAGAATAAACTTGATAAAGAGCTCTGTCATTTTCTTGTGGCTCTTTCACAAGTTTTAGAGACTCAGGAGATTAAATTCTGGGGACTTAATAACACCAGTTTTGTGTGGGGATCTGGAGGTTAATCTATTAGTCAAAACACTCTTTAGTCCAAAATTAAAGCCTTTGTTCACTTATTTCTGCTCAGAAAACATAGTTCAGATGGAAATAACTATAAAACGGATTCACTGCTATGCAAAGTGAAAAAACTGAATTTCAGGTCAGAAAAGACTAATTTGGACAATGGGAATGTTGGCTTTGCTTATGTATGGTTAATGATAAAGGTAAGACGTAGTATCATGAGTCATAAGGAAAAGAACTATTGATGAGATAAATTAGGCTTAAATGTATCATATACAAAAGTTATATTCTCCTGAATATTTAATGGTACCTATAGTCTAGACCAAACTGACGCATTGTTGCGAAAATGTTACTACACTGGTTGATTCAGCATGAAAAATACCTGGATTTCCCATATCTAGTTAATCTTAAAATGATGAATTAAAGTTCTATGCATTTTTTATTCTTGTGTAGAGTACACTTTATACCTTTAAAGAATGTATCACTCACAGACTACCTGCTAGACCATTTTAATGGGAGAGTGCCATACTTTTACAAAGTTCTCAGTGTTCACAAAGTTTGTTATTCTCCAGTGATAATAGAGAACCTATGCTTTATAAACTAAGCAGTAACTTAGAAAATTTACTTAATGTAGTATCAATGCAAATTTGAAATATTGGTGTAGAATACTTTTTTAGTAAATGACCTGCAAAATTTGACATTTTCTTTACAAAAATCTTTTTTTTCTACAGTAATATATAATTAGTGAATATCTTGAAATTGACCTATTTATGAATTTATTGATAAATTATCAATTTTTTCCATGCTTCTTGTTTCAGAAATTGTCTATTACCCATATTTTTAAAACCATGGAAGAATTCAGAGATCCAGGCTGAACAAAGTTAAGAGTTGTAGATAGCAGAGCAGTTCCATGATCCTCGTCAAGTCACACAGCATTTTACACCCTGCAATGTGCTGTCACACATGGGTTATAAACAGTTTGAAATACAAATAATGAAAATATATGATAGTATTCAAATTACACCCTTTAAATATGCAATAGTAGCAAGTCACTTCAGGAAAAAAAGAATAATCTGGAAGGCCATTTCTTTAAAAGAAAAATCTCTTCAGTGAAGTAAACATAGGTTACAAGAACTCAAAGCAGACTGTGTGTGAAACCCAGGAACACAGAATTCATACACTCCTATCACTGTGCCATGAGTTCCATATCTGAAAATATTGGCTTGTCCCACCTGGCACAGACAATAAAGGTACCGTTGGCAGTGTTATTTCTTGGCATTTTTTAGTTTCAGGTTCAAATCACACAGAAAAAGAAAGAAAAGAACAAGAAAATGAAAGAGAAGTGACTAATTATTTTCAATAACTATCTGTTTTTCTTTCTATAACCTAATATTAATTGATGAATGAATAATGTTGAAAAATCTAACTAGAGGGGATATTTTAGTCCTCGAGCAAAGTGAAACTCAGGTTTATTAGTATACATTTCCCATGAGCTGAAATCATTATTGCATTTAATTGCTTGACAATTATTTCTGTCACATCAATTTAATGGTTAAACCAATTATTTATATTACAAAACATATTTTTGCACCAAATTCTAATTGAAAAACACAAATGGTTTTTCAGTGTTGCTTAACCTATACATTATTAATATTGCAAGGGCTAGGTTTAAAGATTTTTGGGGAAATTAGAACTCAGTCAGGTGATGAGTTTTTAGAGATTGATTATGTAAGCTCAAAATTACAGCTCTCATAACCCTGTACATGAAATGAATATCAAGTCAGGTAGACCTGATGACTATTATAAACATTTTTTCCTCCTGCATTCAGACAACAAGAGCTACCAGCTCTTAGGAGATTTTTATCCACAAGATGGCAGCTCTGTTTGCGTGGTCACTCCTTTTAGCAATGTTCAACTTGAAAATCATAACATGGTATTTTTTTTTTTAGTTTTATAGCAGAGATGATTTTCTATCAGTGTAGGAATTTTAAAAACATCCCCAAACATGCACAATGGATATACATTGATTAACCCAAATATTGAGGTAAAATTTGATAGGAAGAACATTCAACAGTGCAATATTTAGTTTAGAGTTTTTAAAAAAATCTCCATTAAGACCCATATGTTTTTCATGCTTTAATTTCCAGGCCATCAAACCCAGCGTAACCTTTAACAGATTAAATTTAAAGAGTATAAAAGTTTTTACTGATAGAAAAGGAAATTCTTGTTTGCCTGAAGGAAACATAGGCTAATAGGTTTCCTCTCTAGGTAATGATCTATTTTAGTTTGCTTTATACCTAAACTCATCAAGAATACTTATTTATGTTACTAAAATCTAATAGATATCTTTATTTCTATGTTAAGAAATGCTGAGGATGGATCAACCACAGACAGTTAATAACCATGTGTGCCTTGTGAAATGGAGAAAGTACAGAAAACCACCAATAACAGGGTCTAGCTCTTTCCAAGAGGTTCACTCAGAGCTGAAATGGTTCACAAGAATAGATGTGAAAGAATTTTCTCCATCAATGAAACCCAGTAAATTAAAATGAAGCTTTACTGAAACAATACATAATTTAACATGGAAACAGTTTTCCCCTGGAATAACCATTTCAAAGGAAATTTGGCCTAGCTTCCTGTCTGCATGCAGTCTATGATGGCACTTCTGGAGTGGAATCACTGATCCCTCAGACAGGAGTAAGGAATTCTGTTTCCTAAAATTTATCATTGACCAAGACCCTTTACACATATAATTATAAATCAGTGCACAGGAGCTTACAGGCTTGTAGAAAATGCAGAATTGATTGATTTAGCTTCCATCTTAATGAAAAAGAGATGAACTCTTTTTAAGTAGTTGGGGCAGCAGTACGTGTGTGAATGGTTGTGATGGATCACCTAATGGGCAGTAACTTGTTAACAAGGCAGCAAGGCCAAGATTCATGGCTTAAAGGCTCTTACCTGCTCTCAGTGTTTTACACAATGGAGAAAACACAACTCTGAGATGTGAAATTCCAGAGGACAAGATCATATTTGGCAACTTAGCTCACATCAGCATTGCCTAGGTTGAGGTGAGCAGCAGAAGAGAAGCAGATTAAAAGGGTCTAAGGAGAAAAGGTGATCTGATAGAAGGATAAGGCCATTGGAGATAGTTTAGACTGCTGTGAAGGTAAGGCAAGCTGCCCAATGCACAATATGAACCTGAACTCAGTTATGTCAGAGCAGATGATTCAGTACAAATTACAATCCCAGAAGGAGTGGTTCATATGGCCAACTGTAACAGCACACTACTCGTCAGAGTGTTGTCACAACAGAAGTGCTGGTCTTTCATCAGAGAATGTCAAAATACATTTATGTCACAAAGTTAC